TGCAAAGTTCAATACAAATTAAAAGTCCTTAAGTGTAATCTCTGGAGATCTTGTGATGGCCAAGTGAAGGATTTGCCTTTGAATGGCAGAAGGGCGCGAGGCAGGATGAGGCCAGGGAAAGGCTGACTCTGGCGCAAACGTGCGGGAGAGCGGGCGGATAAAAGTTCTCAGGTGTAAAAAATTGCAATAGTTGGAAATCCAAGCAGAAAAGGAAAAGATTAAAAGGTTGACAGTTGAGGGAAAACACAAAACATTCACTTCTGTAGGAGACTGCAAAGAAGTGTTCCCTAGGCGTTTTGGTAGCGGTAGTATCTTTGTTTTGCAGGGATACAGTGCCGGTAGTTTAATAAGGGCTACGTGTGACAGTGTTCGATATCTCCAGCTCAGGCACTCCGGGTTTCCCTGAAGAAAGCAGTTCAGTGGTAGCACGGTCACCTTGCCCTTCAGTCTTGGGGTCTCCGTCCCTGTGGGCGCTGGGGCTGCAGCGTTTGTGCCGTCAGCGTGGTGAGCGTGAGAAGGCAAATTCCAGTGGCAGCAGAAATTCATGGCATTCGTTTTGGTGGTGGGTGTCGTGGAACAGGATCACAGTGTCACAAACAGCTACTCCTAGGTGTGTTGGGTGGGTTGTGAAACAGCTCCTTCCAGCACCGGTCCCACCTGCCTGGGTGCTTTCGTGCCCACCGTGCCCGTGCCCATCCCGATGCTTTGCAGGATGGTGGGATGATGAGGAAGAGATACGCCCCAAGTGGATTGTCCGGTTCCCGTACAGGGTGCATTGGCTGTGGCAGAGATGTTGCAGAAGTTGCCCCCAGCTTAAATTTCAGGAATTTCATTTTGTTTGTCCTCAGTCTTGTTTTTAAGGTTGCCAGCACAACGCAAAAGGAGTTGCCTAATTTGAACTCAGAAAGATGCTCCTTTTACATCACTTACGTCCCAGCTCGTCAGCGGCATTAGGCTGCGCGCTTCCCACTGGATCTCAGATTTGCTGACCCATTTCCAGTTTTAACCCATTTATGAAACCGGTGGTGCAAACTGTTGGCCTTTTCCTAACCTTCTTTTAGTAACTAAATGAGTGCGTATTCACGAGGCAGAGCTGGAGGGCAGGTCGTAGCTCTACGGAAGTATCGGTGGATTTGTGCGCTTTCTTCCGAGACCACATCCAGTAGGAGTCATGGTTCACAGGTGAAAATACCCTCTCTCGATCCAACAGGATATTCTGATTGAGGTGAGGAAATGAAAAGTGGATTTAGCTGGAATACTGCATACCACACTTGAGTGAGCTCTTTACTCTCCAGGGGACCGAAATATTTTATTATTGGGCAACCAAGTGGAAGTAACACGGCAGAAGTTTAGTTGGGTATGAAATACCTACTCTTACACAGCATTTCTAAACCGTTAGCCAAATGAAAGATAATGATGTTTTTTCCCATACTGTGTTTAAAGTGGCCAGTCTCAATCTCTGATTCTGAGCAAACTGGGGGTGGTTTTTTGTCTTCAGTGAATAGCAGATGCAAATACATTCTGAAGGCAATTAGGCAGAGTATTTTTATTTTTGCTCACAGTAACTGCAAGCACAAAATTGCTAGCACAAGGTTGAAGGTTATGTACTAAGATTATATGCCACATGTGATTAATATCTTACCCACTTTTTTTATTAGCAAAATTTTAAATTTCCAGGGGATCTGTACAGAATTCTAAGGGGTCAAATTACAAGGCTGAAAATACTTCTGACCGGTGGCTGTGTGTGCAGAATATACTGCATTAACGAGGTGCCTCTTGCTGCTCAGCTGCTCTCCAGTAACCCGCATCTCGCTCCTGGAGGCCCAGCAACATCAGCTACCCCGAAATACTGCACGGCAGCACGTCCTGGAGGAGCGTATGGCTGTCACAAGGCCATTTCCTCCTGCTGTTCTTCAACAGCATTGCTCTAAAAAGATAACAAATGACATAAAACCTGCCAGATAGGTCTGCAGGGAACAAAAGGGCCATTATTCCCCCAGTGGAAAGGAACATGTTAAACGTGGCTTTTCTTCCCATACCCCCGCAGCTGGCGTTGGTGTTGGCTGATCAACCTGTTGAGTACTGCCGTCTCCTGCTCCGTGCCCACGTGTCCCTGCCTTTTTGCCAGTCATTGCATTTCTGAAACTGCCCAAACTGCAGAAGATAGCCAGGTGAAAACAAATCCAGCCAGAGAGACACACACAGAGCAAAGTTCTCGGTGTGGTCTGTCCCCACCAGCAGGGACTGGTCAACACAAGCGGGTTCAGAAGGCAAGTAGATCTCCAAGTTTTGTGTCGTCGAGGATGGGAGGGGGAGATGGGGGGAGGAAGAGCAGGATCGCTGTTTTGGAGGGCAGCCCCATGCTTATCTTGGCTTACGGTGACTGATGAACCAATGCCTTGGACCCGACGTGATGTGTTCTTCCATGAGTTCCACAGGAGGCTCAGGTAGCACCGTGGGCTTTGCATATGATCTTTGTTACTATTTATGGCATAGCGGTTCCAAGTGCTGCTGGAAGCTGAGGAGATGATGGAGAAAGAGCCTTGCTCTGCACCATCTGACACGTGTTCGATTAATTATTTTCTAAAGACAATTTTATGATGTCATGCAAGTTGGAAGCCATAATTTTGCTGTCAACCTTGTCCTCACCGTGTCCTTTTCTCTGGAAAAAGTAGAGTGAATCTTCACTGCAGAAAAGATCCCCGTTTTAATTCCTCATGCCTGCTATAATAATAGAGGCAGTTTTAAGGTTAGAGTAGCGTATAGACAAGATGATAATTATTGCTCTGAAGCTTCTCTGGAGAAGGCAAGAGGAAATTTTCTATTAACATCAGAAACAAATACAGGAGAAGGTGATGAATAAATGCTTCCACCATGCTACTTCTCCAAGATCAAAAGACACTTGCCTAATCCCAACATCTAATTGTCACATGATTAAAAATGTATGAGATCTCATGAACATATGAAAGATTGTGTATAGCAGCATAAGTTCTTGATTTAAATGCATAATTAAGAGCTTCACTCAGCTTTACGGTGAAATGCAAGATCAACAAGGCATGTATCCAAGAGACGTACTGAAGTTTTTGCACCAAAGCAGCTTATTAGTGAAACTATGCTGATAGCTTTTTAATTTTGGACACTTGACTGAAGGGGAAAAAGAAGTGTGAAGCTATTTCTATATTTTGGGAGGGAATTTTGATTTATTCGAGAAGCTAGTGAGTTAAAAAACTTCAGACAACCTCAAAACCCAGGCACATCCATTATTTGAACAATTAACTTTTACTTACCAAGAACGTATTTGGTATGTAAAAACATGTAAAAAGTGGCACATTGCTCGTGGTCATAAAGCGTAGAAAATTCTGTGCTTGCTCATTAGGCATCTGCTGTAACTGTAACCACGTACTCCACCAGAAGCCCACCCTGCTCGTGACCCGTGGGCAGGCCCTGCGGAGAACTTCTCGTGGATTCAGAAAAGACAACGTACAAAGCTTCTGTAGGTTCAGCTGTAAATTATGCGTTTATATTATACCCAGTGCACACATAGGAACACCACTGCTTTCTGAGGTTTTGCACTTCTACCACACTAATTCAGTAAAATACTCAAGAGTACTGGTTAATTTTAGGCCTGTAAGAAATAACAGTTCAGTATTGGAGCCAAACATACTCCTGTCGTGTTAGTTTTAGCGATCTTAATTTCTGCTTTCGAAGGAACACTAATCCAATTCATTTTTTTTGGTTTTTTTTTTTTTTTTTGAAGTATATGCCAGGATTCAACTCTTTTATTTCAGTTTGGTAGCACTGAGTTTTGGTTTGGGTTTTTTTTTTTTGTCCTAACTGATCATAATGACAGCAAAATGTCAGCTTCATTTGTATCTTAGCTCAAAATACAAACAGAAAAGCATACAGAAGGGAAGATTATTTGTTACACACTTGAATTATTTTTGCTGCGTACCTTATGCCAAACAGTTTTGATTCTGCATGTGACTTACAGTCCAAAAGCCGTACCCATACATGTTTCTGATTAAATTATTTTCAATATTTTGCATCTAGTGCAGAGATAACACTGCTATTAACATAAAAGCATTAAAAAAATTGGAACTTTGCTGAAAAGTAATTCCATCGAGGAAGAAAACCACAATATTTTTATATAACATTTTGGATATATTTTATGTCAAAACATGATCACCAGTCAAACCAGTGACATCTAAACCCAATACATTATTGTGATTTCTAAAATAAAAAATCAGAACAAAACTAAATCACCGTGTGCTGGCGATTTAAACACAACCAAACTCTAGTATTCTTCAAAAGTGCCTACTAAATATAATAAAAAGAATAAGAGAACAATTAACATTTAGTCTGTTACATTAAAAAATTGGATGTACATATTTCTATTGCCTGTTAGCTTTACCTAAGCCTTCTCAACCACTACAAAAAAGAAAAAGAAAAAAAGAAAACTCAGTGTTCAAAGTCAAAAACATTCAAATCAGTTGATACAACATTACAGTACAGTCAACTACCATCACTCGAGGTCGCCCTGTCTCAGCGTACGAGTCCGCAGACCAGCGTTACAAACCTAGCTCAATGCAGTTTCAAAACCGTGTGTTAGCTTCGCAGGATGCTCTACTGATGGCTTCGGAAGAATGGGGTTGTGCTACTTTTGAATCACGGGGTAACCCCAGGCTCTCATTAATTTTTATTCAGCACTGTAGTTAGAACAGCATTAAGTTTAGCACAATAACTAAAAAAACCCCAACCAACCAAAAAAAAAAAAAAAAAAAAGAACCAAAATAGAGATTTGGAAGCCAGGTGAAGCTGCCATTTGTGTCAAACAATTGCGATACGCTATACTAAAAAATTCTGAAATATCCACCTGTCCTCACCGCTCTGCCACAAACTAGCAAAGTCAAAAATACAAAAGTCTTCAACTTCTCATTTTTGCAGAATAAAGCAAAAAAGTCTTTGTGCTCCTTACTACCAGAAGCAAAATATCCTCTGAGTTACCACATGTAATAGCTTCTGGATGTGTCGACTTGGGTTGGCTTGGTCTCTGCAGAACCATCCTTGTCTTTTTCACTGTCACCTTCCCAGAGATTAATAAGTGGAGGGTAGAGCTCATTCAGGGGGATTGAAGAGGTCTTTTGCATATATTTTTTCAATGAGTGGTGGTAGTTTTTTCTCTTAAATCTTTTTGCAATATAAACAGAAATGGAGGCGAGGCTAATGACCGCAAACATGGATCCCATTACCGCTGCGAGGGCAGTGCTGGTTTCTTGGTCTGAAATATCTAGCGCAAAAGCTGCGTTTTTTGTTGTAACGTTAACACAGGACTTCTGTGTTTGCTGATGGATATTTGACACTGTTAGACACACTTCGTAATCTGTAGATGGTTGTAAATGCGTGAGGTTATATTCATGTACGTCAACCGGGACCCTAGCAGTGTACGTAATGTGAGGGTTGTCAATCTTCATAGTGGCCGATGACCATTTTAAATTGGAAGTCATGACATTGGAATTCACTTTCCAAGAAACTAAGATTGAATGCGATTCGGCTTGCTTAACGTAGATTTTCAGAACCTGGGTACCATCCAAAAGCGTTCCGTTCACCCGGATAGTAGCGACCCTCGTGTCAGCCCCTTCTATGTTTTGAGCGACGCAGGTGTATCTCCCAGAGTCTTCGACCTGGATGTTAGAGATTTCCAAGGTGCCTTCGCTACTCAGCTTGTATTTGTCAGAGAGACTTTCGACAGTTACTTTATTGCCGAGGGGAGTGACCCAGTAAATTTCTGGCTCAGGTTCTGCCATGGCCCGACAATCTAAAAACACAGTCATGCCGATGTCCAAGTTCAAGTGATTTGGAAAGGTCTCATGAGAGATCATTGGAAGACATTGTTCGTTTGAATCCTGTATTAACACTTCCTTCACCTGCTGTCCTCTGTATTCGGGAGGCATAGCGCAAAACATGGACAGAGGTTCCATGAAACGGATATTGGTTTTGTTTGAGTTGATCCAGTGAATGACACAGTCGCACCTGAGCGGGTTACTGTGGATACTGATCTCACGCAGGTTGGGAAGGGATTCCACCGTCTTTTGGTAGACGGCGTTCAAGGCATTGTTGTTCAGCATCAAGCTCTCCAGGGCAGGAACGTTGCGAAATGCCAAACGATGTATGTAAGACAGCTTTGGGTTGTTGGTGGCTTCAAGCTTTGTAAGTTCAGGCAGGTTGTCCAGCGCATACCTATCCACAGAAACGAGTTCTCCCATGTTATTGATTCCAAGCTCTTTCAATCTGAGCATGTTTTTAAAATCACCTTCTTGAATTTTGTGAATCGGATTTTTGTTGAGATCCAGGAATTTCAAATTTGGAACTTTCTCAAGTGCAAGCTGAGGAACTTTTACCAATTTGTTGTCATAGAAGGAAAGACTTTCAAGGCTATCCAAGCCTACCAAGGCATTGCCAGGAATGTCTGTGAGGTACATACCTGCCAAAACTAGACTCCTTAAATTTGAGAGTGGTTTGAAATTCATATCTAGTATTCCAATCACTGGATTTTCTCCAATCATGAGAATCTCTAAGTTAGGAGTGGAATCAAACCAACGGCTGTCAATAACCTTTAATTTGTTGGAGTTGAGATGTAATCTCAAAAGATTCTTCAGGCCAGAGAATGCATTTGCCGAAATGCTGCTGATCTGGTTGTGATTTATATATAGCTCCTGAAGATTGCAAAGGTCTTGCAAGCAGTAGTCAGTCATCTCCGTGATCTGGTTTTCCTCCAGGTGCAAAGTAGTAAGTTGAGTGAGATTTGAGAGTCCCACATCTTTGATACTTGTGAAGTTATTTTGTGAAAAATCCAATTCTGTTAAATTAAACAGCTGTTGGAGTTCATCTGTGGTCTTTGCAATGTTGTTGCTTTGTAACAGAAGGACTTGAGTGTCACTGGAAAGATTGCTGGGGATTTTTGTTAATCGAAGGTCGTTGCAGTCAACTGTTGTGGCTTCCCTGTACGTTGACTGTGGTGTAAACCATGGCCTGATTTCACATACACAAAGCTGTGGACATTCGTTACTCTGTATGGAAGACTCAGTTAATGAATTCATTAACAATTCTAGCACCAACTGGCAAACAGTTAAAACAACCCTAACCTTCGCCATGCTGGTCAGCTCGTGAGTTCAGCTCCCCAGGCCCTTAAAGTAACAGCAGACTGAGAGAGTAGTTTGTTATCAGGCAGAAAAGGTAAAGCTTAAAGTTTAAGGTGAAGGGCTTGGACATCCAGATGATGAAAGATGATTTTCAGAGTTTAGAGAAGACAAGCAATGGTCTGAAGAGTCTTAGTTGCTCCTCTGTGTTCCAGAATCTTCTGCAAATCAATGTCTGAAGATGTTCCTGAAAACAGATTACAGTATATGTTACGTTCATCTCCTAAACAGTTCATCCTTATGAATTTCTTTATACTTCAAAGAAAAATATCTGAAAACAATCATTACTTTAACATTCATCTCTCTCATGAAAAACCTGACCTGGTATAGTTATGTATGGTTCAAACTCTCTTCTACTTGAGATTCACGTGAGAAAACTCTTGATAGTTCCCACGTGAGCGACTGTAACACCGTATGCAATCGTCTGAAAAGAAACCTTTCAGATCGACTCCGCAATATTTGTTTGAATGGCTTGAGAAACGCTAAAGATCGAGGATACGCTTGCGAGCGCGGTAGGTCTCAAACCAAACAAGCGTTCGGATCATCATCCCGATGGGAGTCAGGGTGCCAGAGCTGTCCCCGGGGCTTGGATTTCAGGTGTGTGTTATTAAAGCTCGGGAAGATGTTGGTTCATAAGTTTCAAGCTAAATGCACACAAACTTTTCCAAAATTGATCTGAGTTAATCAAATCGGTTCCAGATAACAGCTCAGATTTAATCCAGCTAAGCACCAAACAATAACAATAAATTTGATGAAATGAATGTACTGCCCTATTTCAGCTGTTTGCGCTGCATTGTGCATCACACGTGAATTGTTTACCGTTCCAAATTACTGTGTAAACCACACAATTTATATCCTTTTAGCCTGAAGTTATTCATGCAAGAGCATGTTTAAATTAACCCAACAGTGTCCGGTGTACCGCAGGAAATCTGTTGTGTTGTGGGTCTTTAAATAGATATTCAAGGAAAAGCTAAGCTCTTGGTAAAATCTCTCTCAATTCTCATTTTATTGAAAACAGTGAGCTCCGGGAAACAGTTTGTTATCGGCAAACCTATCTATTACTGCTGCCATAAGAAGCACGGATACAGTTTTGAGAGTTTCTGTACGTGTATTGTGTAAAAATGTGCAATTTGGGGCCTGCGGTGTTAAACACAACAGCTGCCTGTCCTCCGGTCCAGAAGGGCATCACTTCAGCCATGGTGATGCTGCATGACCTGATTTTCTCCACCTAGGGCTTGTCGTGGCCGTTCCCCATGCCTAGCAGTGTTCCTCTTGGCTCGTCGTGCCCACCAGTACGAGCGGGGAATGTACACCGGTGCTGGTGGTTAACGTACACCGGTGCTGGTGGGTAACGTACACCGGTGCTGGTGGGTAACGTACACCGGTACTGGCGGGTAACGTACACCGGTACTGGTGGATAATGTACACCGGTACGGGTGGGTA